GGCTGAGCCATAAGCCAAAGAATCAGGATTAATAAACTCCTGTGATTCTTTTCATAGAGGATAACTACGTAAACTACATTTTGGAAGTCAGCAACTATTTATTTACACAGTCTTCTGTAATGACCTCCAGAAAAAGTGACTATACTCTTTGTGTCAAGCACCACAAGTGCTTTGAATATCAAAGATGCTGTGGTAGTATTATTACAACAATGTTTTGAGCTGTTCAGAGCGAGTTGGCCCTTGTCTTACTATACCTTGCTCTTAAACAGAATCACTGAGAATGAACTTTTTTGGTTACCACTGTACTGTAAAATTCTTTTCAGACTATGTAAGATGATATGAGATAATTTATAAATCATTTGGGTAATTATTAGATGGTAAAGCTACACACACAAGTATTGCGGGTCAGGAAGGCAAGCTCTTCTGCTGCTTCTGTCAATAGACTGCTTTCTGATAGGCAGTGCTTGGTTATTATAATGTATCTCAATGCAATTCTAACTCATCATAGAAATGCAGATCCTGTTAGTCAATTACCTGTGAACAACTCATTGCTGATGTATAACCTTAGCACGGCTACCATTAAAAAAAAAACTTTAAGGCTATCCAAGGTTGAGGAAATACTTCTTGAATCTTTGCATTGCACATTAAGATATTTGGGATTTTTTTCTCTACTGAAATGCGTGGTATTAGAGGTAACACAACTTACCCACATCAATTTATTTTATCTTACTTTGCCTTTAATTTGCATTCAAAAAGAGTCTAAGGAAGCTTACGGGACCATTCAAGTCAGCATAACCGCCATTATTATAATCCATTAAGTTAGGGAACTGTAGTCACACATAAAAATTTATTCAAAAAAACACTAATGGGGCAAACATTTGCTGTAACAGTGGTGACACTACTTGGAACAGCAACATCACACACTGGGAAGTCTGGGTTGTAGCAAAGTTCTGTTCCCGGTTTCAGCCTCCTGCTAATGAGCACCCTGAGAGGTAGCAGAGGATGGTTCCAGTATTGGGAAAACCCAGACTGAGTTATGGGCTTCTGGCCTCAACCTGCACAGCCTCGGCCATTTTGGGCACTTGGAAGTGAATCAGTGAATGAGAGATCTGTTTTTCAAATAAATAAAAATTAAATAATATTTTAGAAGAAAAAGGTAATGATAAAGTTGTGAAAACAGATCCCCTTAATATTGTTAGAGGGAAGGAAGGGAAGTCTGGGGGAAATATGATTATCTTTCTGGAACTATACTTATGGAATGCATAAAATTTATTTTCTTCTTATTATTATTATTATTTCTTATTAATAAAAATGAAAAAATAAACGTTTTTTTCTCTGGAATGATCTTTTAGGATGAGACGTAATTTCTTTAGGAACAGTTCTTTCAAATAGATCTTTTAAAATGCGATTATTCCTATGATTCTTTGGAACAAAATATTATCCCCAAGCAATGTAGTGTAACAACATTTTCTATTTTCAAGCATAACTGAAGAGCTATTTTTTCTTAATGCTTTACTGATTTTTGTGTGACTGGCTCCCTACTGTTTTTTACTATGTAACTATTCATTTTAAGTCTACAGTAATAACAAAGACAACATTTGAGTACTTTGATGTTTTAGTACTTTGTGAAGTACTCTGTGAATACTTTAAGTATTAAATTTAAATAGTCAAAATTATTTTTATTTTAAATATGCTCTTTGGTAACTCATTTAGTAAAACCAATAATCCCACTTAAAAGTTCAGATTTTTATGTATTTGGTTCCTCTAAACAAAAGTGTACCCACAAATTACACATAGATATTTAACTCTTAGTAATTTTAACCTCGTAATATCAATTACAATCTATCTAGAACATACTGTGTCAGATGTGAGTACATAAGGAATTAGGATTATAACCCTAATAAATAAAGTTTCAGGGAATTAAGAAGCTTGCCAGATATGGGTAGAATCAGGAATTCAAAGTTGGGTCCAATCGTACCATGCAAGTGGAAAATTTTATACTTCACTGCTCCAAATCATACAAGATTGTTTGGGGGAAGGGAGAAGGCAGCACGGTGATATAACATGCTAATCCTGTGCCTGCAGCACCAGCACCTCATATGGGTACCCACTTCCAGTCTAGCTCCTTGCCTATAGCCTGGAAAAGCAATGAAGAAAGGCCCACTGCCTTGGGTCCCTGAACCGGCAAAGGGAAACCTGGAAGAAGATTCTGTCCCCTGGCTTTGGATCAGCCCAGCTGTGGCCATTGCAGCCACTTGGGGAGTGATCCAAAGGATGGAAGATCTTTCTCTCTCTCTCTCTCTCTCTCTCTCTCTCTCTCCCTCCCTTCTGTAACTCTGACTTTCAAATAAAAATAAATAAATCTTAAAAGCAAAAACATTATTTTATGTATCCCTTTACAGGGAAGTGATTTCCACACATAAAAACAAAATGTGAATTTTTCCAAGATTCATCTCTGAAGGTGACCATGGAACTGCTTGGGCACAAGAACAGCACTTTCTATTTTAGCTGTGCACATGATAAAGGGAGCAGCATGATTTAACATAGAGCATGGGAAAGACTAGCAGCACAGGGATGGACTTAGGCCAAAGGGTGTTATTCACAAAAGCACTGAAAAGAGGTAGGGGAAACCTCTTCATTACTGAATCTCCTTGCAGGATCCCCCCAGAACACAGACTTTGGGAACAGCTTCACCTAGGCAAGAGGCTGATGAGACAGAAATGTGCTCTTGGCCCCTAGAAGACAGGGACTGGGAGACAGGCTCCTATCTGCGGAGTTTCCCAGCAAGTCTCCCCCGGAAGTGAGAAAGGCCAGGGCTGAAGTGCAGCCTCCCAGCCCAGAGCAAGGCCAGCCAGGTAAATCAGGGTGCCTCCAGTTCCCTGACAGTCAGCATCTGGTTGCTTCTTCCTGTTTCCCGCCATGCTGACAGGAGGGATTTTCTGTTCCCTTCAATGTTTATACAGAACCTTCCACCCCTGGTACCTTGCTACTTTCCCAGTAGATGCCTGGGGTAGGAGGAAAAAACTGGACCAAACTCAATTGTAAACTAGTTTAAAGCAGAGCCGCACCCCTACCTTCTGCCTAAGTAACCACCTTCTATGCCCAGCTCCTCTTCTGTGCTGTCTTAAGGGGATGTTTAAAGTATTCCTCAGTAAACTGACTCAGAGTAAACTGCTCTACAGTACACGTTAAAAGATAAACACTGAGTACACATTTATGCAGCATTTTTTCAATGCTATTTCCAACAGTCTCCCAATGAATTCACATACAAGTAAACCCCAGTAAGAAAATGCTGTAGACAGAAGTCTCTGAGGCTACCATCACTTTCTGAAGTGTGGTTCCTGTCTCCTCCCATCCCATGTACTACTAGAGAACAAGAAATAGCAAGATCTGCTTCAGCCTCAGAGGGCTGGGCAGATGAAAATCCCAGGGGTACAAGTCATAAGTCTGTACTATTAAAATAACATTTTGGCCCCATGTAAAACAAAATGGATGTTTTCAGTGTAAAATACAGAAGACATGACTAGAACTAACTCAGTGTTATGAGACACTGTGCCTTCAACCCCATGTCAACCCACAATATCCTCCCTGGCTCTTACTCCTCTTTATTATGTCTGTAATTTGTGTCCAGCCAGAAGGACACAAATAAAATCTATACTCTGTACAACTCCCCAATAAACACCATACGATTCATAAAAAGTAGTCATAGCAGTCATAACACAAAGTGGTCACATGGTTTTCCAAATAATCTTGCAGTTCTCCCTCCACCCCTCTTTCCCTACTCACCCCCACGGGAGTCCATCTGCTGAAGAAAATGTGAAGCCACTAGGACCAGAGTGCCCTTTCCTGCTATTGCTTGAGAAACAAAGCCTTCCCTCCTCCCAAGTTGAAAGAAATAAAGGAGTCTGAACTAATCAAAACCTGCAAGCCTGCTGGCGGAGCTTCAGCTTGTCAGTGATGCAACTCAGCGGAGTGAGTAACGGCTTCGAGCTTTGTGGAAAATGAGAGAAGGGAGAGAAACAGAGACAGAACACAAAGAGAAAGAAAGAAAGGCATTAAGCTGGCCAGGAATCACACAGGTACTTGGGGCCCGAACCCAGAGAGAAGCGTTTGCTAACACAGAATGCAATGGATTGGGTTTGTTTGTTTATTTATTTATTCATTCATTCATTTATTTATTAATGGGGGACAGTGCTGTAGTTTCTGTTCAAGGGTCTTAAACTTACACTCTGTCAGTTTAAAGTACCTCATGGATGCTTTCTAGCTCTCTAGGATGAATTCTCCAGGAGAGTGAAGGGGAGCAATGAGGTCATTTAATGCTCCCACCATAAAGCACAAACTTTGGTGGTGCCTTTGGAGCAACGTGCAAGCAAAGGGCTACCACACAGAAAGTGATGGCAGGGTGCTCCATGCTTCACAGAAGTCTGCCCTGCCCTTGAGCTGGCTGTTCAGAGGCCACAAACTGTCTTTGAAGACTCTTCCAGCTCCCATGACACTTCAGGTAACTATTTTCTGATAAGGATCTTAAGTTGGCCCCCACTGTCTTTGGGAGCTGAATAGCTTGGACTCCTGGGATCTATAAGCCTTGAGGAATGGGGTGGCCGTGCTGCCAATCAGGAATCTCGTTCACAAGCAGAAGTTAGGAAAAGAGAGGAGCGCAAGCAGAGGAAGGCCCGGTTTTAGACCCTCAGGAGAAGGCCCTAATCAAGAGATGATGCCCACCAAATAGGATACAATTCAGCAGGACACCAACCGGGTGGTATTAAAGGTTATCCTATGAAAAATATGCCACCACCGGTAGGTTTTTAGTCTCTTGACTTTAAAATGTTCGAGTGTTTGATAACCCTGTAATTCAGAAGACCCAGTTTGCCCACTGCCACACCCTTGCCCACATGCCTCTACCAGGACTGCTGTAAGTGCAGATAAGACAAAGCTTGGCCCATCCCACTTCCCTGAACCCCTGCACCAAGGTAGGTTTTTAGTTCAAGCATAATCTTTACCTGAAATACGCCTGGGCACATCGGTGATGGCAGGAAGCCCCGTGCCTCTTGTGGAAGACAGTGGGGTGGTGGAGTGAATGGACGGGGATGTCATCTGGCTCAGGTAAGAGGGGTAAGATTGATCATAGGACCACGGTGGAGAAGACTGTGCCTGCCTGGGGTCTGAGAAAAAGAGGAAGGAAGAAATCTTTAGCATACCAGCAACTGAAGTCTTGAGAAACATGCAACTCAAAACTCAGGAAGGACTAAGCAGAAAAAATTAGAATAAATATATAAAAATGACCTTTACTCCCCACAACCTCATCCTTTCATGGCCTGACCAGCAACAAACAACAAAGCATCTGGAGTAAGGACTCTCTCTCTCTCTCTCACACAGGCACGTGTATTTGAAAGCCTAATGTTCATCTAGAAAACAGTCCACCTTGGTTATTTCTACACAGTGAAATTATGTCTTACTTACTTTCTACATTCTCCAAAATTCCTCCACTATATATAATATATATGTATATCATATATAATTATCTAAATATGTGTATATATACAATTATCTAAATATATATACATATAATTATCTAAATATATTTTCTAAAAACATTGCTAATATATTTATATAAATTATTTTAAAATATTTCTAACCTTTTATATATAATATGCATATATACATAATATAATGTACATTATATCGCACATATATGTAATGCTAGAAATGTTTTTTAGAGAATTATCTTGGTTAAAGGACATACAGACTATGCTCTTTTACTGCTATATATCCCATGGGGGAAGAGCTAAGACTGGAGGGGACAGCTCCTAAGATGAACAGAATGGAAGGAAGCACACTACACCATTCCTATGCTAATTTAAACCAGAAAATAACCTTTAGGGAAAAGATAAAAGTTAATTTCAAAGTCAACTACCATTAAAAACTGAAACCCTTCATCATTATCCGGTTTCAATGTTATGCATGTAAGTTTCACCCAAAACAGGAGACCAGGAAAATGTTTTTAATTCTACTAGAATCTGACTTCAAATTGTCACATGTTTGGAATGTAGCCTGGTGTTACAGTCACAACAATAATAAACACAGTGGGCAGTCACCTGGCTAGTAAATGACTGAGCAATGACAATACATTTTGATGCATCTCTATAGAATCCCTTGGAGGTACAAATTCAAAGTCCAATAAACTGACTATAAGACTAGTGTACCTGTTGCATGTTTCCAAAGCAAAAAAAAAAAAAAAAAAAAAAACTACTTCAAAATTTTACTTTTTTATCTTGGGACAAATCAAACAAAATCATAAGCAATTTCCTTTTAAGATATGTTTTGGTGCTAATTTTCAAACTTAATGCTAATTTTTAAAATTCTTATAGACCAAACAGTTCACAGGGCAGTTCAGTCTATTAGAATCTGCTTTTAATTGTTCAGAATTAGTCCTCACTACAAAATCTCATTAGTAATGAGACTTCTACTTTCCTATGCTCTTGACTTAATGAGTCAGTTAAGTTTCTCTGAGCTGTGGTTTCCATTTCTGTCAAAGGGAAAGACTTAACACTATCTGAATTACAGGGATACAAGGTTTGCACAATAAACTAGTAAGAGTAGCATGAGAGATACTCAAAGTATGAATTCTTATCTTTAAAAATATATAGGTGGAGCTCCATTAAAACACCTCAAGTGGAGATTAAACATTTGGAATAGTTTTAAAATTATCCTATGTTATCTATCACTCTTTATAAATGAAAAACTTAATTCTTAAAAAGCTATTAGTATATTTCAGCAGTAACTTCAAGTTCAACTTTAAAAACAAACATATGCAGTAAGACAGAAGTTTCTGTTACAATGACTTCTCTTTTGAAGCCTCTCAATGTTTCTGTAGAGCCAATGCAATTGAATTTCAGCTATTCCTTATTTATTTGTTCAATTCAGAAACAATGTATTTAAAGAATGCCCAAATAAGACATATCTCCCTGAAATAATTAAATACACCTGAATACTTATCTGATGGTTAGCAACATCAACAGACACAATCAAAAAAATTCATCCAATTTTAAGGAACATGGCACCCGAGTTTGCAATGTGAACAAAAGTGCAATACTGTAAATGGTTAATATCTGATTTCTTTCTGACCATGAGTTTGTGCGTTTTGAAACTCTCAAGGCTGAGATGGCATAGATAGGCAACATTTCCAACCTGATTGACCTTGATATATAGCTGTTTTATTCCATAATGTAATTTATTGTACAGAGAAATGGCAAATGGTCTTCAGGTGGGAAAAGATTCATTCCTTAGAACATAAAACAGCAATTTCACAAAGGCAAGCCCTTCTCTCAGATAACATGGGAACATGGTACTCAACTTCAGAGTTGAGTTCTAATCTAACTTCACCAGATAACTTAATGGGCATGCTATTTAACCAAAGGTTGCAGCCTGACTGTTACACAAATAACATGAGAGAAGGTAATAACACAGAATGAGCCTGATAAATGTTAGAACATCTACCCTTACTTGAACTTTCATGCTAGCCTTTAAACTCTTATTCTGGCAGAGGACAATCTTGAAAGATTCCTACAGTTTGTAGGTTCACAAGGTGGAGAATATGTCTATGTTAGCTGTGCAGATAACTTTAATGATCACTTAACTTTCCTCGTGTCCTTCTTAACCTTTGTTTCTTCCCAGAAGGAAAGATTCTAATCTTAGTTTATTTTCAAATACTGCGCACTTTGATAGTCTTTGGTGGACAAAAATGTCCAGAAAGTATCTTGACTTCCTAAATGTTAAATCATCAAGAAAACACAGTCCTATCATAAACATCTGGTTATGGCATACTTGTTTTTTCGTGGGTAATTATTAATGCTTATGGTAGAGAAAAATCACCATAACCTGATCTCATAAATAATTTCTAAACTCAACTTCCTGAAGAAACCTGAGACTTCTGAGATTCACTCTTAATTTTGATGAGTCAGAGGAGGTGACAGAGGGTGTTTTTGGTATCACCGGTGGATCTTATAGTTATTAGAGAAAACACAGGGCCTACCCATTAACTATTTATAATCAAAATTGTTTTTATCTCAACTTCAGGTTCCATAGAGCAGATAAATCCATTCCTACAAAGTTATACTGCATGACTGGACCTTCACAGCACTCTGAAACATGGAGAGAAGTACCATGTTATTATACCACTCCAGCAAAAAAACCGACTGTTCCTGACTTTCATGTCCTGATGGACAGAGGTGTCAACCACAGCCTGAAGGTGATATCCGTTGTGACAAGTAACTACCAGTGTCTATCAGCTTGCAGAGGAAAACTCAACACTATTGCACAGAAAGTTTCGCCAATAGATGAAAACTGTTATGGAACTTTAAAATCTGTAACTCATTCTTTATATATGGTAAGCTTCCCAAGTAACATCAAGATTACTTTCATTACTGTATTACACAAATCCATTGTACCGTATAGTTTGTACATAACTATGGCAAATCTGAAGCCAGAACTTGGGTATTTGGAGTTCTGTGAGTACATTCTTTAGCACTTGGAAAATTTCACAAGAGCATTTCAATATGGCTTCATCCCTAGATCTTCACAAATTTCTCCTCTGTTACCTAAAATAAGGGATTTTAGAAGCACATGGGAATCAAATTTGACCTGTGATGTAAACTATCAGCTATTTCCACACCCTCCCTCGCCACTCCCCTTCCTGACCCTTCAGATAAACAAATCTACAAATTTTTCAAAGATCTTTTACTTAAAAGAAGAAGAAGAAGAAGAAGAAAAGGAAGGGAGAAAAGGAAATGTATCATGGAGGTCTAATGTCAGAACTAACTTCCGGGGGATACTGTTGCTTAGGACCAGACTTCATGGAAAGAGCTTGCAACTCCCTTCCATGCTATAAGCTCCCAAACCTTAAAACTAGAGGGTAACATTCAGAGTATGTTAAAAGTGCTGACAGCTCATGTCTCAAGCTGGAAAAAATGAAGACAATCATATGAAGAAAGCAAATTGTATTCTTTCAGCTGATCCATAATGTCTGAAGCTCTATCATCTAAGTGGGTAAGAAGAAACGGTGGTTGCATACTCCCTAAAAAGATGTACAAGGGACCAAACCCCACGAGTCTCCATACTCCATACATGAATCAATAGACAAATTTCAGATCTGCACAATTAAACCCTAAATAATCTGGGTTCCCAATAAAAAAAGGAGGGGGAGGACAAATGGTTCAAAAAAAAAAGGCATCCTATGATCATGAATCAATTAAAAGAAATTATGTAGGATTTTCTTTTAATGAGTCAGTTCAAGCATGAAGGGAGCTTTGTTAAAAAGTAGCAAAAGGTATGCATGTTTGCTACTAGCAAGTCTCCTTTTGTAAACATGTTGGCTAAACACATGTGGGTGTGAAGGAGGATCTGCTTTCCTAAGAATCACTTACAACAAGCACACCACGGGCATGGCGCTGGGTTTCATGCAGAGATGGGAGGAAACAAATCAACAGGGGCAAAGCCCAAACCAGCACACAAAAGATTTCTTCCTGTTTGTGCTGCCAGCAGGCTTCTATGTAATATGAAACTGTGACCGCCAAAGGTTCCTGCCAAAGACAGTATGTCTACAGTGAGTACCTGCTGTATTTGGGCAGTAGGGTACAATTAAGGAGCCCCACATTCTAACCCATTATCCTGCACCCATCTTTCCTTAGTACTCAAGATATATTGTGTAAACTTCAGCCTCATCTTGAGAAGATGGAGATATTTAAAACAAAATCTATGGAATTAAATATTTTAGAACTATACCTCTTAATTGCTACAACTGCTCCCTGGGTCAAATAGAGTTGATCATTTTCACACAGAGGAGCAGACTGACCATTTCCTATTCTAGTTCTGTCATATTACTGCCATTTTTAACACAACCATGTTCATACACAAATTCATGCGGAGTCCATTTCAAAACAATTTACACAAAATACTAAATGTTGAATTCTGTATTCTCAAGGAGCTCTTTTAGCTAGACTAGATTTTTAGAATGAGTTTTCCACACTGAAGTCTGATTCTTTTGACTAATACAAAATAAGCCTCAAAACAGCCTTCCTTCATCTATAAAGGATTTGGTACCAACTATGCAATGGTGAGCAAAGAATTTACCCACTCTGAGTCTCCTTGTTCTCATAGAGTGGAT